TGCTGCTGCTGCTGCTACTGCTGCTGCTGCTGCTGCTGCTGCTGCTACTGCTACTGCTGCTGCTGCTGCTACTGCTGCTCCTGCTACTGCTGCTGCTGCTGCTACTGCTACTGCTGCTGCTGCTGCTGCTGGCTGCGGGGAGTCCGTCTTAAGCTCCATGTCTCTGCTTGTCTTGTGCTGCTGCTTCTGCTGCTGCTGCTGCTGCTGCTGCTGCTGCATTTTTGCTGCAGCTATCGCCAGCGAAGGCCCGCTGTTTCCTCTCGAGCCTGAGGGCCATGCAGATCCCGACCACAGCAGCAGCAGCAGCAGCAACAGCAACAGCAACAGCAACAGCAGCAACAGCAACAGCAACAGCAACAGCAGCAGCAGCAGCAGCAGCTCTCTTCTGCGAAGGTACCTGGTTGAGACGCTGCTGCAGCCTTTGCGCCAGAGCAGCAGTCTCCGTTTGTCTGCTGCGGATACATGCAGCAACGATGCTGCTGCTGCTGCTGCTGCTGCATCTCCTGCTTCCTCTGCTTTCTCTCCTTCTTCTCTTCTCCGTTTTGCTGCTGTGGGGTGTACAGCCACTGAGCCCCCGCTGCGGGTAGCCAGCGACCTGCTGGGGCTGCAGCAATCCGACATGCAGCAGGAGCAGCAGGAGCAGCAGGAGCAGCAGGAGGAGCAGCAGCAGGAGGGTGAGACAGGTGAACAGCAGCAGCAGCAGCTGCTGCAGCAGCAGGAGATGGAGGAGGAGCAGCTGCAGCCACAGCAGCAGGAAGAGCAGCAGGAACAGCACATGCTGCAGCAGCAGGTTTACCAGCAGCAAGAGCAGCAGCAGCAGCAGGAGCAGCAGGAGGAGCAACCTCAGGAGCAGGAGCAGCAGCAGCAGCAGCAGCAGGAGCAACCTCAGGAGCAGCAGCAGCAGCAGCAGCAGCCGCAGGAGCAACCTCAGGAGCAGCAGCAGCAGCAGCAGCAGCAGCAGGCTGCTGCTGCTGACGACGTAGAAGATGAGAAAGAGGAGCCTGAGGAAGCAGCAGAAAGCCCTGAGCTGTCTCGCCAGAGCAGCAGCTCCTCTACAGGCCTCGCGGCCTCACAGGAGCAGCAGCAGCTGCAGCTGCAGCAGCTGCAGCAGCTGCAGCAGCTGCAGCGGCTGCAGCAGCAGCAGCAGCAGCAGAAGCTGGCGGAGCAGCAGGACTGTTCGGAAGAAGTGGAGGAGGGTGGGTCTGGCAGCAGCACTCCAGGAGAGAGGAACGCGCCAACAGTTGCAGCAGCAGCAGCAGCAGCACATGCAGCAGCAAGTGCAGCAGCAGCAGCAGCAGCAGCAGCAGCAGCACTGCCTGATGTAGGCTGGGGCGGCTCCTCTCGCCGGCGCACCAGCAGCATCTTTGTGTCTCCTCTTCAGGACGAAGCAAACGCAAGAGAAGTCCCTTTCTATGCTCATGCAACCAAGCAGCAGCAGCAGCAGCAGCAGCAGCAGCAGCAGCAGCAGCAGCAGCAGCAGCAGCAGCCGCAGCAGGAGAAGGGTGAAAAGAGTGTATTGGGTGGCAATGAGAACATAGAGGAGTTGCTGCTGCAGCTGCTGCAGCAGACGTTCAACTGCAGCAGGAGCAGCAGCATAAGTATAGTAAAAGAAAGAGGAGAGATGATGCATGCGCTGCTGCAGTTTGAGGGTTTTGCTGCTGTTGCTGCTAATATAAATAAATGGATTTATAAATTTAACTGCTGCAGTGATGCAGCAGCAAAGCTGCTGCAGAAGGAACCAAAAAAAACTAACATCGTTGTACAAATCTTCTATTCAGGTAGTTGCTGCTGCTGCTGCTGCTGCTGCTGCTGCTGCTGTTGCTGCTGCTGCTGCTGCTGCTGTTGTTGATGATGATAATGATGCAGCAGCGGCAGCTGTTGCTGCTCGAACTGCTGCTAATGCTGCTGCTGCTGCTGCTCTTGTTGGTCTTTCTTCTTCTGCTGCTGCTGCTGCTACTGTTGCTGCTGCTGTTGGCGTATCTCCTGCTGCTGCTGCTGCTGCTGTTGCTGCTGTTGCTGCTGCAGGGGCTGCTTTGTTTTATTCTAAGGGTCTTATAGAGCCAGCTGCTTCGCTGCTTGAGTCGCTGGGGTTGCTGCTGCAGCAGCTGCTGCCAGGGTCGTGTTTGCTGCTGCAGCAGCGGCTGCTGGATCACCTGCGGCGTTCTCGTGCTGCTGTCTGCCTCGCGGAGATAGCAGCAGCAGCAGCAGAAGAAGAAGCATACGTACACACTGCAGCAGCAGCAAAACTTCTTGCTGCTGCTGCTAATGTGCTGCTGCACTGGAGCAGCAGCAGCAGCAGCAGCGAGCTGCTGTGGGCGGGGGGACTCCTAAAGAAACTCCTGCAGCACGAAGAATCCTACTTTCTTCTAGCGAGACTCGTGCTGCAGCAGCAGCAGCAGCAGCAGCAGCAGCAGCAGCAGCAGGGAGGAGAGATGAGGAGAAAAGGGTTATCTATAGAAGTCCTTGAGGCGATGGCTGTGGAAGCCTGCAGCACTGTAAGTGTCTCCTTTTGTCTCCTTTTTGCTGCGCTGCTGCCTCTGAGTCTCCTTCTTGCTGCTGCTGCAGCAGCAGCAGCAGCAGAAGCAGCAGCAGCAGCACTTGTTGATTTGTCATTGTTCTTTTCCTTGCGCCTGCTGCAACATCTCACCTTCAACCCCCCTCTCTTCGTATGCATGCGTCTGCTGCTGCTGCTGC